ATTTGTATCCCAAAGCTTGCAGATAATGCACCTGCTTTATCAGTTTGAACTGCAATGAAAAAATCCCTTCGGCCAGAGGGGACAGAAACAGCAACCAGAAATGATCTCCCAGAAACCCATGCACCAGCTGGGCCTCCCTTAGCTGAGCTGAGCTGGGTGACCTGGGGAGTTTCCTCTCTTCCGCTGCTGTGTCTGGATGCCCTTCCTGGGCTGAGTGAGGCTTCAGGGAGCTGACATGGTGGCCAGGTGTACTGTACAAGTGTGGTGGTCGCCGGGGCTCCCTCGTGACAGCACATAGGGACCAGAGTGCTTCTGGGTAAGTAGATATCCTATGTGGGTCTGATCTCAGATGTTTCCAAAACAACAACAACAAAATTATATGTACATGATCATGTTAACTTGGAGAGAGACAGAGAGACAAAGAGAGACCAAGAGACAGAGAGAGACCAAGAGACAGAGACAGGAAGACAAAGACAGAGAGAGACAGAGAGGCAGATACAGAAACAGAGACAGACCAAGAGACAGAGAGAATCAGAGATGCCAAGAGACAGAGACAGGGAGAGACAGAGACAGACCAAGAGACAGAGAGATCCAGTGAGGAGCGGACTGAGGTTTCCGCATCCAGCTCCCCTAACTCATTTGCTGTGTTAGAGCCGTGTCCCCTGATGCCTCAGCTTATGAATTTGAGGGGAGCATGGCTCAGTCTCCAACATTAGTTCGATTTTCTCATCGCTGGGACAAAATACTTGACAGACACAGCATGAGGGAGGAAGGAGCGGTTTTCTGAGGCTCCCATCCATCAGGAGGAGGACAGGGACTAACAGCGATGAGCCCAGGAGGAGGAGACAAGGCCAGCACTTTAGTGGCTCCTTCTTTCCCCCTCGAGCTGTCCCGGTCATCAGCACACAGGATGGTGTGGTCCACACTCGAGGCAGGTCTCTTACCTGGAAACTCCCTCAGGGACACACTCAGAGCCATTTGGCGGGTCATTCTGGAGCCTTCTGTGTTGTCAAAAGGAGCTGAAAGCAAGGTCCCAAAGAGACACTTTCCTGTGTGCTCTTGGTCACTGTTCTGCGCGCCCCACAGTGTGGCGGTGGTTGGATAAATGATCCGGGAGCACAGCACGGATGGTGGAGCACTACCCTGGAGTCCGGGAGCTAAGCCTCACATTTGCAAGACAAAGCCCCCGAGGGGTCATTTGCACAACAGGAACCTACGAGGTGCTGATCAACTGTAAACTCTGGTGTGACTGAGGTGGGGAAATCATACGGTTCCCAGTTGTTGCCACAATAAGAAACCTTTAAAAGACCTTTCAAAATAAGTTACCTAAAAAAGGCGGCCAGCAGGCGAGCAAGAAAGTAAGCTCTGGCCACCAGGGGGCGCTCTGCACCAGCGCCTATTTCGTCCCATGGTCGGGCCTACGATTTGTGTCTTTCCCTTGGCCAGCCTTCCTGTTCCACGGATGGACCAACTCTTTCAGGGGCACCAAACTGCAAGCACACCTGGGTCACATGAACTGGCTGGTTCTTTCTGGGAGCCCTTTTCCTCTGTGATGGGGAAAGGAGCCCAGATGAAGGGCACCCACCTTGCCCGGCAGCCAGCAGACTTGGATCCAAAGGGAGAGGCGGTAAGGGATCGTCCAGCCTCCGTGACGGAGTAGAGAGACGGAGTTATGTACCTGTGTCTTCGGATGCACAGCCCAAGAGCCAGGTCCTGGGATGTGTACTCTGCTGCCATGCCCGCTGGGCTTACAGAGTTCCTGGTTCACAGAATGTGTTCGAAATGTCCCGTTTCTGCCAGCATCTCATGCCCAGCACTGGCTTGGTAGAACTTCTGGGTCCTGGGTCATACAATTCCAGGAGTAACTGAGGCAGCCGAATATGGATCTGGACCCCTCTGGGGACCCAGGAGTGTTCAGCCTGCTTCATTCTTTCCCTCTGCTCCATCATCTTCAGGACAGACCCATCCATTTGCTCAGGCCCGCTGGCCTCTCTGCCATTCCAAATGGCCCCAGGGATGGAACACAGGTGTCAGTCAGGCTTGGCAGCAAGCGCCTTCATCCACTGAGCCGTCTCGCCAGCCCCAGGATAAATGTTTTTTAACCAAACTGTGGATGGCCCCGGGAGGGCTCAGAATTCAGATCCCCTGACTCTACCTGCCTCCCTGTCACACTTTCAATTCCAGAAAAACAAATCAGATCCGAGGCCAACCTCAGTTTCTTAGGTGAGGCTTGTTGTCTCGCCGTCTTTGAGAACTCTTCGGGATGACTTCCTGTGCACCCGGGGGAGACTAGCATTCACAGGTGGATGCTAGGATGGATGTGGACTTCAGGGTGGGTATAGGATCTTGTCAGCCTGGTCTCCTTACCTCTTGATGGGAAAACAGGGATCCTGGGCCACAGCTTAGACATGTAATCATCAGCACAGAGCCTCCTTGTGACTGGGGTGGGCCTCACAGGTCACCTTTCTGGGGTCCTGCTAATCCACCTTCACCACACCCAGCTCTACGGCTTCAGGAAGTCCCTTGACTTCCAAGGGCCCCAAAGACATTAAAAACTGGCCACACTCTGCTTCCTGCTCCCCACTTGAAGTTGTCACAATGGCAGAAGGACAGAGAATGGCTGGTCCCAGCTCTGGACGGACAGAAAGGGCCTGAGAAGAGCCCAGAAGCCTGCATCCACCCTGTTCTGTGGGTCACGGGCAGGAGGGACAAAATGTGTGCTCCGAGGGACTGTACCCCGAGACACAACCCCTCCAGGGGCCTGGAGCCACAGGTGGCTCACCGTTCACGGCTTCTACCCATCCTCCATGAAAGGCCTCACTGTGCTCTAAATCAACAAACACCAGGGCGGCACGTTGCCGTGGAAGACACAAAGGCATCTAGGGAGTCAACTCCCAGCTCTCCTCCTCCATCTTGTGGGAGCTTGGACAAATCAGGTGACCTCCCTGAGCTGCCGGGGATTCTGCTTCCCGTGTGTAAAATGAAGACGTAGTCTCTCCTCCAGGGGCTGGCTATATGTAACAGCCACTCCACAAACAGAATCCATCGTGCAGCGAGCCCAGGCCACAGAGGTGAATAGAGCAGGGGTCCTTAGGCGCCTCTTGAGCAGGAACCGGTTTCACGTAAGTGGTTAAGAAGCTGATGGGGAGACACAGGGCGTCACAGAGGAAGAGGGATGAATCAAGGAAGGCTGCCTGGAGGTGGTGGCGTTTGCTTGAGCCTTAAGCAACATAAAGAAAAAAAAAACTAGATTGGCTTCCTCTTTTGTTTTTGCTGCTAAATCCCTGCGTGACTTTGAGCCCACGTCTTCCTCCCCCGACGACCTCTGGCTCCCACCTGACACAAGGTGGTCACTTAGCAGTGACTACAAATGATTGCAAATGACTTTCTTCTCCGAAAAATAATCCCCCAAGTCTGCTCCTTGGTGCAGGTTGTGTTTTATGCCCCGCCCCTCCCCGGAAGTCATTTGAAAACCCTGAACTAAGATTTCAGTGCTTCCCAATCTTGTGGGAGGCTGTCTCTGCAGACCTGGAGGCCGCCCTCCCACAGGCCGCTCACCTCCAGCTGGAAGAGCCCAGGATCTGTGGGAGCTGGCCCTGTGGGCCAGAGGGGAGCCGGGGCAGGGGAGGAACTACTCCAGCTGACCCAGTGTGGTTCTGGGAAAGTGCCCAGTGCAACCTGCCCTTGACCTTGCCCCCTGGGGAGACAGAGGAGCAAGCGTGGGCCACTCTGGGCTAACTCCCAAACAGACCCGTTGACCCTGCTCAGCTGCCTAGGTCACAGTTCCCATTCCAAGACAGCCTGGGCAGCCAAGTCCTTATCTTCGCCAATCTAAACATCACAGGCTCGGGAGGGCCTCCTCCTCTCAGCCCGTGTGTGTGTGTGTGTGTGTGTGTGTGTGTGTGTGTGTGTGTGTGTGTGTCCTCAGCTGCTGTGTCCAGCTTGCCAGAAGACAAAGGACCCATCGTAGCATCCATTTAACCCTTGAACTGCTGTCCCAAGTGCTCACCCTACATTTATGAAACACCTGTTGTTTGCAGGTGGCCGCAAGGGTCTTGATTTGAGCCCCCCCCCCCGCCCCCCCGCCCCCTTCCTCTAAAATGTCTGCCTCCAGGCCTGGTCCCTTGCACCCCTGAGACAGAGAGATGCCATCCCCATCCCTCTGGCCTGGAAGAGCCGGTGGCTGTCAAGGAAAGTGCTAACTGGGTCCTGAAGCCAAACTAGAGAGGGATGCAGGTCTGGTCGCTGTTCAGGCTCCAATGATGTGGGACTTGATTTTCTCTTCTTTTCTTTCTTTCTTTTTGGTTTTTCAATACAGGATTTCTCTGTGTAGCCCTGACTGTCCTGGAAATTGCTCTGTAGACCAGGCTGGCCTCAGACTCAGTTATCCACCTGCCTCTGCCTCCCAAATGCTGAGATTAAAGGTGTGTGCCACCACCGCCTGGCTCTTTATTTAGTTTTTAAAGCTGTGTTTATTTTTATTTTTTGTGCATTGGCATTTTCCTTGTACATCTGGGTGAAGGAGTCAGATCCCCTGGAACTGGAGTTACAGACAGGTGTGAGCTGCCATGTGGGTGCTGGGAACTGAACCCAGGTCCTCTGGAAGAGCAGCCAATGCTCTGAATTGATTTTCATCCTATGTGGGCCTCCTTCTGCGCCCTCCAGGCTCCATGGTTCCATTTGGCTCTGAGATGGGCCTTTTGAGCCCTTTACTTCTCCACCCTAGAAGGCCTTAGACTATCTTTAAAGCAGATTCATTCATTCAAGCATTTGTTGAGGGCCTGTTATGTACACCAGGCGCCGGCCTCGCTGCTAAAATGCAAAGATGATACATCGACTGGGACCTGGGACCCTTGAACACACCCGGGTTCCTTCTCCCTGCCTGGATCCGATGCCTCACGGCGGGCCCAGCCGGGGACTCAGTGACTCCGGTGTCACGGCGGCTGGGCGGGTCGGTCTCCTCCCCTTCCTCCACCTGCCCCGCCCCGAGGCCGCCTCCACCCGCGGGATCCCGGCGACGCGTCCGACGCGTCTGCGAGCCAGGGCTGCTGCGTTCTTCTGTCTATCTGTCTGTCGGTCTGTCCTCGGCGGGCGAGGTCCGAGCTGGGGCGGAGGCAGGACGGTCCCCTCCTTTCCCTCCCTCCCTCCCTCCTGGGAGCCGGCAGGGAAGGAGCCAGCGCGGGGAGATCACGGTGAGCGATGAGTGCAGGGACCCCACATCCCTGGCTCAGGCGGGTCCGCGGGCAGATGCCACCGGAAAGGGACATAGCGACCTGCGGCTCTTTGGCCTCTGGGGACGCGACCCCTGAGGAGAACTGGGTCGCGGCTGCAGCTGGCACCCTCCATCCGTCTCGACATATCCCTCATCTTGAGCTCGAATCCCTGCATCCCTCATCCTTCATTCCGCATCCCCACATCCTGCGTCCCCGCATCCTGCAACCCCACATCCTGCGTCCCCACATCCCGCATCCCCGCATCCCACACCGCAGCCCCCGGTAGCGTGTGGCCCGAGGCGGGGGACGCGCTCCAACCGAGCACGGGTCACTGCGGGTGACAGTCTAGGGTACCGTGCCTGCTCTTCTCCAGGCACCCCAGGGACCGCAGGGCGTGGACCCCCGAACCCCCCTGCCGCCCCCCCACCGGCACCCCATTGTTCTCCACCGCGGCTCCCAGGAGGGGGAGGGGGCTGCTCTCTTCTTAAAGGGCCCTCTCCCCTTCTTGTCGCCCCTGCAGGTCTTGAACACCAGTGGGGTGGGGCGTGCCCACGGCCCCCGCCCCCCCAGGGGTCCCCCAGACTCTGCTTCCAGAGCAGCGATCTCTGCGCTCCGCCCCCTTCCCTGGGAGATCTGTGACCGCTCGGGCCGGCCAGGAGAGGGGACAGGGGTGCAGGGGTGCAGGGAGCCCCTACAGTGGAGCCGTCGTCGGGAGGGGCGGAACCGAGAGTCAGCCAGGAGTGAGGCACGGGGTCTGAGACGCAGAGCTGAGCGCGCAGTGAGCAGCAGGCTGGGACCGGGGCCTCCCGGGTGACAAGGCCCTGCGTGGCGGACAGAAGCAACCACAGAGAATCGGGGAAAGGCAGGAGGACCTAGAGGGGCAAGCGCCTCACTCCCGCACCTGCACCGAGGGGACCGAGGAACTAAGAGCACATCCCCCGCCCCCCACACCTAGGACAGACGTTGCCTTGAGCGCACCCCTGTGTGCAACAGCTGCGCTCTGCGGGAAGGGGGTCCTCGCTGCTGCGTCTGGATGGCCACCCATCCCCCTAACCCAGGCCTCTAGGCCTTGGAGAGGAGCCCAGCTGGAAAAGAGGCCACACTCCTCGCCGCCCGCCCTGGAGAGAGAGGACGACGCTTCCCCGGTGCTCCCAGGCCCAGGAGGAGCTGGGCCAGCAACAGCGGTGACCTGGCCCCCCAGGCGGCAGCGGCCATGTCACGGCCAGGCCAAGGTGTGATGGTCCCGGTGAACGGGCTGGGCTTCCCGCCGCAGAACGTGGCCCGGGTGGTGGTGTGGGAGTGGCTCAATGAACACAGCCGCTGGCGACCTTACACGGCCACCGTGTGCCACCACATCGAGAATGTTCTTAAGGAGGATGCCCGGGGCTCCGTGGTCCTGGGCCAGGTGGACGCCCAGCTGGTGCCCTACATCATCGACCTACAATCCATGCATCAGTTCCGTCAAGACACAGGTGAGTAGACCTCTGAGGGCCAGGCCAGCCTCTCACAGGATGGGGTGGGGGGGGGGAATGCACAATCCCCCCCTCCCAGCGTTCCTGAAAGGGGAGATTGGGGTTCCAAAGATCCCGCCGGCCAATTAGGCTTCCTCCCTCTCCCTCCACTGGGAAAACGGACAGTGTGGCCTGGTCCAGGTTCACACTCTGGTTCCAGCCCTATCTCGTATTAGTTCGGGGGTGGGGGTGGAGATGTGGATAAACGAATCACCTCTCTGAACCTCAGTTTCTTCACCTGCAAAGTGGATGGATCTCTGTCTCTCAGAGCTTTGTGAAGATTTTTTTTAAGCGAGTCCCCCTCCCCCAGCACGGAGCCCCTCAGCGCTTTAACACACCCATTTATCAAACTCATGGGTTGTTCGGTTTCTCTCCACCAACTCAAAAATTTAAATTAAAAAAAAAAATTTTTTTTTTAGTGGGCCATTTTACAGGCAAAGAAACTGAGTCTCCCAGAAGCTGAGTGAATCGCACTCAGAGCTGGGATCAAAATGCAGATAGCTGGGAGTCCAGAGCTGGCGTGGTGCAGAGGGAGGGGTGGGATGTGGTAATGGTCCAGGCGATACCCGGGGCGGGCCATGGTGTCCATGGTGGGTGGGGGTGGGGTCGTGAGGGAGGAGAGCATGCTTGGTGGCGATGTCGTGTGGGATTCCTTGATGGTCTGAAACTGGTGGTCCTGCTGGGAGGGATGTTCCGAGTGGCCCGTGATGCAGGAGTGGGGGTTGGGGGTGGGGTGGGGGTTGCTGGCCATCTTGGTGGCCCCATGGTGTGGGTGGTGGCTGCTGATGGCGGCCGTACTTGTAGTACTATAGTAACAGTGACGTGGAAGATGGCCTCACTCTCAGGCCCTCTCTCCTCTTCCGGGGGATTTGTCACCTCCGTGGAGAGTTTCTGCCACATCACCCGGCGGCCTCTGAGACAGGCACTGCGCGGCCAGCGAGGCCCTGCCTTGTGGGAACCTTGGTGTGTCTGGCTTCCAGGGGCAGTGATAGGGGCTAGGGAGGCCTCTGCTCTGCACTTGCCGGGGTGACCGCGGCCGAGCTACCTTGGGGACAATAGAGTCTTCCTCCTCCCTTAAGCTCCCTGCCCAGCCTGGAGGCCGCTAACCACCTGTGGCCATTTCAACTCACATTAGTTTAAAAAAAAAAAAATACATCAGCGTGTAGCCCCACTTCAATCACTCAGGAGCAGGACTAGGCAGGGGACAGTGTGGCCTCAGCGTGGCCTTCCAGTGACAGCTATAGAACTTCAGACACCCAGGGGACGCATCCCCAGCAGCTCAACAATGTGACATTTTCATGTATCTGTTTTCCATAGCTTCCGGCATCAGCCATGGCCATGCCTATCCTAAAGACATTTCCTGAGCGCCTACTGTGTACCGTAGTGCCGCGGTGTGGAGCAAGACCCTTCTTGGCCGGGGCTGACCATTAGTAACCATCCCTGTGTGGTCAAGGAGCAAGCAGGAGGCAGGAGCCTGTGAGACAGAGATGCGCTCGGGTACTTGGGAAGACCAGTCAGGAAGTGGGGTTCCCAGAAAAAAAAAGGGGGGGGAATAGCCAGTGCAAAGGTCCTGGGGTGACAAGGAACTGAGCATGCTCGCCTCTCTGGGGTTTGGGAGGCAGAGGAGCTGGCTCCGGACATGCAGGTGTCGGCCTGGATGGTGAGGACTGTGGATTTGAGCCTGAGAATTGGAGGTGACACCCTAGGAGGAAAGGAGGGTGGGGGTGGGGCCTGAGAGGAGAAGGGGTTTCCCCTCGCCAGCACCACCTTGGCTTAAGCTTTCTGTTGCCTCGGAGTGTTGGCTATAGAGATTTTCCAGGACTTAACTTGGAGAGTGGGGGTCCTGAGAAGTAGAATTAGACCACACACACACACACACACACACACACACACACACACACACACACACCGCCAAGGCCCTCAAATTAGTATCTTTGCCTGCGGCCCTCCCCTGGGGCCTCCTTCGAGTCTCATCAACCCCACTTCAGCTTCCAAGTCCACAGACAGGCTCAGGCCTGCTCCATCGCCCCCCACCCACCCACCCCATTCTTCACAGCAACCTTCTGCCGTCCAGTCTTCCACTCCCAGCCTCTCTCGTCCAGCCTGTGAGCGAGAAACAGGACAAGGCTTCTGTGTGCCTGCCAAGACCTCCCCCCACCCCCTCACCCCCTCCAAGGAAGGAGAAGGGTCTGGGAACGGGGGGGGGGGCACAGCTAGGAGACCTGGGAAGCTTGGGGGTGGGGCTGCCTCCCCACAGACAGACAGACAGACAGGCAGGCAGGCCAGGCTGAGCTACTTAGGAAAGGCCTCTGGCCCTCGCTGCCCCAGTTCCAGGAAAGAACCAAGATGTATACAGGGTCTCCCTTCTGCTCCGACCAGCTGGGGGCCCAGGCCAGAAGGCCTCGCCTCCCCAGGCCTCAGTTTCCACACCAGCAGGTCAGAGAGAATGGAGCCTGTCTCATAGACCAACTCCTGCTCTATGGTGAACTTGCACCTGGGCACACTGTGGGGGAGGGGGGGCTGGCAAATCCAAATGCCAGGGGTTGGGATTTTTGCTCAGTTGATAGATCAGGCATAGGCAATGTGGTGGTGCACACTGGTCATCCCAGCACGCAGTTGGAAGCTGAAATTAAAGGTCATCCTCAGCCATGGCGAGCTCAGGACTAACCTGGGGTCGATGAGGCCTGTCTCAAAAAGCAAACAAAACAATCCACCAAGGTAAAGCCGTAAAACCCAAAACTCACACACATGCCCCAAAATGCACAGGACTCCCATCTAGACTTGCTTGGCATCAAAGTTCCTGGAAGCTTCTGGAAGCTGATCTGGCCTCGGGTGGGGAAATACGAGTCTGGTTTTGCCCTGATGCAGGAGCTGGTAGGCTTTTTAACCTCGTGGGGACCCATACCCTGCCCCTGGAGCGTGAGCACTGCCCGGGACTTATGCAAATGAGTGACTGTGGCTGGGTTGACGTAAACACTGTGGCCACCACTGACATTTGAATTTTGTGCCATTTTCATGGCTCATAGAGTATTATTTATCTTTTTTTTTTTTTTAACAACTGTTTGGAAAATGTAAAAGCCACTCTTCCATTCTTAATCTCTGAGAAGGCAGAGATTAAGGTGGGTGTGTCGACCCCCACCTCCGCGCCCCCCCCCCCCCCCGCTGCGGTTCACCCCACCCCCACCCCCTGCCAGAGCATCTTCTAATCTATGCCTATGGGGTGTGACAGGGACTGACACCCCAGAACACCCGGTATGATGTAGGCACGCCTCAGGATGTGCCAGACAGAGCTCATGTTCAGCGCAAACACACACGCGGCCACAGCCTGCTCATCAGCCGCCGCCCGGCGGCACACAAATGTCCTGTCTGTCTGCTTGATCTGCTCGGCGGCAGCAGCAGCCGGCAGAAGAGAAGGGAAGGGAAGAGAAAGGGGCCAGATGTCAGGCTTGGGGACAAGTGGAGAGGACAGACCTGTCACATGGGGACTGCTGTTTATTCAGCTGCCCCAGATGTTTCCACTCTTACCCATGGGGGAGGGGGAGGGAGGTTCCGTTTGAAACCCTCTGGGCTATAGCCCCTCACAGGGAGGCAGAGGCTACATCCCCTGGCCATGGGATATTAGGTCCCTAACAGCTACACCCCTGGGCTGCTTGCTAATGTCTCCCTCACACCTCCATGTGGGTGGCGTTGTTTTGCTTTGCTTTTCTATGCTGGGATTTGAACCCAGGACCTCACTCACACACACTGGGCCGGCGCTCTGCCACTGAGCGCTACATCATCAACAGCCCTCTTTAGCGTTCACTTTGAGACAGGTTCTCCCCAGCTGGCCTTGAACTCGTGGCCTTCCTTCTCAGTCTCTTGAGTAGATGGAGATGACGGTCTTGCCCCACCAGGTCCGCCTGGGCTCCCAAAGCTTACCCCCTATTATCTGAAGCTTCCCCACCCAGACGAACCTAGGTGATTGCAAATGAACAGTCAGGACTCCAGGGGTTTGGCCAAGAGGGCTCCCAGAGGCTGGGGAGCCACCAGAATGTGGGAGGGAGGGGTGAGGAATGACTTTCACCCCCCCCTCCCCCCCCACACACACAACTTCTCTGAGGCCTGCAAGATTTAGACTCCAGAGAGGAAGATCGAAGCCCAGAGAAGGTGAGTCTCGTGCCCACGTTCACACAGCCTAGCAGCCCCCAGGGCCTGCCCCCCAGACCCTCTCTCCACACAGCTAGAAATGGGTGATCTGGTCCCCTGTGGATAGTAAACCCCGTGGTCTCTGTGGCTGGCAGGGATTAGAGGGTTCCTATGTGACATGCGTCTCCCATCTTCCCCCCCCATCCACTCTATAAAGAGACACAGTGAAGACAGAGGCCATGTCAGAAGCTCCACCAGCAGCTCTGTCTCAAGTGTCTCAAGATGCTAGACTGGAGACAGGTGCCACAGGGGGCCTACACCCTTTCCCTGGGCGGCCAGGGCTCCCTCACCCTGCATCCTGCCGTTAGGGGTAGGTCCTGCCTGCGCCAGTTGGACTGAGGAGGACCAGTGAGGTCACCCAGAGAGGAAGGGCAGCTGTTGCCATGGAAAGCACCTCCAACGTCTAGAGTCCAGATGGGATGACAAAGCCCCAGAGAGGGTGAGTGACCTGCCCAAGGTCACACAGCAGTTCACTCTCAATCCAAAACTAGGCTCCCACGTCAGGTCTCAGGGATGAAGGTGAGGGCTGGGTGTTCCTTCTCCCTGTCCCCTGAGAGCTCTGTTGGGCTCGTTGTCAGGGTTTGAACTAAAGCAGGGACATCCCGAGTTACCATGGAGCCTCTAGGGCCTGAGTCCCAGGCTCCCACATCTCTGGGGCCCTTTCCTAGCAGATCTAGGGCTGGGCTTGATGCCCGAGCAAGGACTAGAAGAAGGTTCCTATCAGGTCTGGCTAAGCCATCCACAGGGTGCCCCATGCCTCTGGGTCCCTGTCACAG